AGGCACCCCTGGGTGTGTGCACCCCGAGTCTCGCACAGCCGCGGCTATGGACACCCCGAGCCATGCCCACCCGGGGCTACAGGCACCCCAGGCTGGGTACACCCAAACTATGCACACCCCGGGGTTTGGGCACCCACCCAAATGTTCGCACGCTCACGGTTACGTACACCCCAGGCCGTGCACAGCCAGGGCTACAGGCACCCAGGCTACAGGCACCCCGGGCTGTGCACGCCCCGAGTTATGCACACCCCAAATTATGCACACCCCAAATTATGCACACCCAGAGCTACAGACACCCCCGGCTACAGGCACCCTGGGCTGTGCACACCCTGAGTTAAGCACACCCCAATGTGCACCCCAGGCTACAGGCACCCTAGGCCACAGGCACCCCAAGCTATGCACACCCCAAATTATGCACACCCCCAGTTATGCACACCCCAGGCTACAGGCACCCCAAGCTATGCACACCCCAAGCTATGCACACCCCGAGTTATGCACACCCCAGGCTACAGGCACCCCAAGCTATGCGCACCCCAAATTATGCACACCCCGGGCTACAGGCACCCCAGGCTACAGGCACCCCAAGTTATGCACACCCCAAATTACACACACCCCGGGCTACAGGCACCCCAGGCTGTGTATGCCCCAAGTTATGCACACCCAGGGCTACAGGCACCCCAAGCTATGCACACCCCCAGTTATGCACACCCCAAGTTATGCACACCCCAGGCTACAGGCACCTCAGGCTACAGGCACCCCAACTATGCACGCCCCCAGTTATGCACACCCCAAATTACGCACACCCCGGGCTACAGGCGCCCTGGGCTACATACACCCTGGGCTATGTACACCCATGACTGCGCACACCCCAGCCCATGCACACCCCAGGCAACAGGCCCTCTGGTTTACACCCCCCACACCCCCCCCAGAACTGTGTACCCCAAGAGTTACGTCCACCCCAACCTCCATGTAACACCCCCCCCCCAGCACCCCTCTCCCCGCAGGG